AATGAAATTTTTACATATCAAGAAGCTTATATAATAAATGTGTTAAAATAATTTTATATGGATAAATCACATATATTGTATATTCCAATGGTTGTATAGTCACTATATGTAAATAAAAATCATTTCAAATCTGAAGAGTAGGATGGACTACTTAGTCATGAAGTACCTTATCTTAGTGCAATTAGAGCACTAATGCATATTGATAGTCATATAAAACACAATATATCATTCGTTGTTAATTTATTAGCACGATATAATTTTTCACCTATAAAAAGACATTGAAATGAAGTTAAATACATATTTTGCTAACTTAAAGGTATGATAAATATAGGTTTATTTTACTCAAATGAATTTAAGTCCAACTTAATTATGTAGGTGCAAGTTATTTATTCGACCCTTATAATGATAGATCACAAACAAGTTATTTCATTATATGTCATAGTACAACCATTTAAATAAATTATAATGCTTACGTCATCTAATCATGCATAAATTTTAGTATTGCATGAGACAAGTTAAGAATGTGTCTATTTAGGATATGTGATTCAACGTGTATGAAAAATTTGTGATTTATTTTTAAAAAAAATGACTCCAATAATTATATGTGAACATATTGTTGTGTGTATAACTAAATTAAAAGAAGAGCGCATAAAAGGAGATAGAATAAAATATATTTTTTCAAAATTTTATTTTACCAATAATATTAAAAAAAAACAATTATTATAAATATTTAACAAATTTATTTATTTGAGAATTTAGTAGATATTTTTACAAAATTACTATAAAAAAAATTTTGAGTAATTTATTTACAAATTAAATTTCATCATCTTAAAAATGATTATTCATACACGGAATAGAATTAATTGCGTTATGTACTTTTTTTTAATAAAACAATATCTAATAACATATTAAAGAATAATATTTTTTTACTAGATTTTTATCTCGTTGATTTTTTTAGTAAAATTTTATAAAATACATTCTCAAATATTGAACGTCTAAGAAAAAATATTATAAATTATTATGAGTTAACGTATAATTTTTTTTAACTTTTCATATTTCTTAAATTTTAATCATTTATTTCATTTACACTTACAGTGATAAAACTCTTAAACCATTAATTTAGACTTATAAATAAAATATTTTATTTATATTTTTAATCTATGAAATTAAATTGAGATTTTTTTCTTGAATTATATTCTCTATACGTCTATTCTACTTTTATGTTAATTTTATAACAAAATCAATTTTATCTTATTAATTTCATCCGACTCAAAACAAGCATAACCTTAATTTACCCAAAACTAAAGCCCAGCGAACTAGTCAATTTCTACAAAACCTTAAAAACCAAATTCCGTGTTCCAAACCTTAATAAAAAACAAAACTACACTTTTTTTACTATTGATTATTGATTAGAACATCGGAAACTAGAACATCGGAAACTGGGTTTGGTGCAAAACAATGCCGGTGAAAGCATCTTGTTGCCTCTAAAAGTGCGCGTGTTGGCCAATTGGTTTTTCACTTTTTAAATTTTATCAAACCGTCACATGGTTCGGTTGTTGTTTTCTAGACTTCTCAGTTTAATTTCAAATATATATATAATTATATTTGACTAAGTTATTTTTATTGACTAAATAATTTAATTTAAACAAATAAAATATGTTAAAAAAATAATAAAACTAATAAATAAATAAATTATAAAAATATAAATATAATCTGATCAGGTTAGTTTACTGGGAATTTTCGTGAACGAAATCCTAAACTAGAAAGGTCATGCATGGGTCTAATGTATTCAACAGTAAATAAGTCCAATAAAAACTAAATAAATAAAATGAAACGATATATAACTGAATTCAATCAATTTTTAAATAGATATTTTAAATTGCAATAGATATCACACTTAATTTAAATTTGAATATATTTTTAAAATAATAATATAACTCAATATTTTATATAATAACTATATGTATTTTCGTTTTTTATTATATTTTAAGTCAAATTAATTGTTTAAATAAAATTTCTACATACATAAATAGAGTGGCAATGAATTCATAATTTGGTTTTTTTTTATTTCAGTTTATTTATATATTTGGAATTTTATTTATTATATTATGATATTAGAACTAAATTTTATATTTCAACATATTTATACAATTGAATCATATTTCATTATGAAAACATGATTAAATAAAATCACTTAACACTTTTTCCCACCAGTACTCTTCTTATATATTATATTTTGATAAAACTAAAATGTTGTGTTTTTCTTATACTGAATACCTTGTTTTATTTATCTTAAATAATATTATATAGATTTAATTAATTTAATTTTAAAGTTCAATTGAATTTTAAATAATAGCAAATCATGTTAATTTAAATAGGTTTGTTTTACATTTGTATGACAAACTAGATTTTAAAATTAATGTAATCTTAGTCAATTTTAATTTAAACTTAAATTTTAAATTTTTAACTTCAATAAATCATATTAAATTGATAGACATGTCTACTAATTTAAATAAAATATTTTTTATAAATTTTTTCTTATTTGCATGATTTTTTCTTTATTTCTATTTAATATAATTGAATGTTATCACTAAAATATAAGGCGAATAAATTGTCAACTTTTGTTTTGTATTTTATCTTTATCATGGCTTATTCTACAGGTGAAATTATAACTAGATGTTACAGCAACTATATTTTAGGGATAGGTAGAGAAGGTTATCCTTGCAATGGTAGGGCATGCCATCGGCTAATAATAATACATGTTTACGAAAGGAGAATCGTTGACTATAAGAGTTAAACCTAATCTTATTAGCAAAATCTTTTGATCCTCGTCATTTTCTCCACCGAAATTGGAGTAGGGGCAAGGAATACAAAGAAATCAAATAATTTTAATCCTGATGTTTAATGTTATGAACCCTCAATTTTATTCGTACTTTTTAATTAAAATTTATTAAAAATAAAAAATAAAAATGGTATAAATATAAATGATCAATTCCTTAATTATTTAGCCAAATCTTTAGTGTAATGAAAAATTAATTTTGCATGTTTTTATTTATTTGTGATCCAATACTAAAAAACATAAATAAAAATATATGTGTGCTCTATACATAATTTATTTATTAACGTAAAAGGGAAATGAATCTAATAACGTAAAAGAGTAACGAAGATCACAACATAAGAAATACGTTTCTTTATCTTATGGAAAGGAATAATCTAATGCTCGTTAAATAGGCTTATTACATAACATATACACCATAAAATTAAAGATATTTCGAATAATCTAAAAACTGAAATTAAACTCTTAAAATAATTAAAACAGAAAATTACTAAATTATGTGGAGTAAAATTCATCTTCACTTGGTCAGTAAAAAGATAAATATTTTTTTTTTATAATCACTCCCTTAAACTGAATATTGCAACGCTTCAGTTTAATTTTTCAATAGATACTTTAACATAATTCAAGTTGCAGATCCAATCAACTTCTTCAAAATTTAGAAGGAAGAAATTTTGAGAGTTTTGTGAATATATAAGCTATCTGATCTTCACTCCAATAGTATTGCACATCAATGGTGCTATCATTGTTGCATCCCCTTAAAAATAGTATTTCACATGTATATGCTTGTTTTTTTCGTATAGCACCATATACCGGATTCTTGGACAATTTAAAAGTTGAATTGTTGTTACAAAATATTGTGGTTGCACCTAGTTGTTTGAAATTCATTTCTTCAAGAATTCTTCTTAGACAAATGGCTTGACACATAGGTGTAATAGCAATAAATTTATTTTCAATTCTTGACAAAGTAATAACTAGTTGCTTCTTAGATGACTATGAAAGACACTTATTTTTAATATAAACACATAATTAGAAACTCTTTCTATCATCTTGGTCACTTGCATAATCATTATCAGTAAATTCTAATAAATTATATTTTCCATCCTTTTTATAAAACAACTCAAATTCTCTAGTTCTTTGCAAGTAACTAAGGATCCTTTTCTTGCAGCCAACAAATCTTTTCCTCTTTTTTTTTTTTTTTTACCAATAGAACTTTTGAATTCTTTATCTATTTTTTTAAATGATTTCTTCATATTCTTACTATTTTCATCTAAAATATTTTCTTGAATTTTTTTTTATTTTGAGGTAAAATGAAAATAAAAATTTCTTTTCATTGATTTTCCTCTTTAATTTATGATAAAAATATAACCAAAATTAATATTTTAAAATTTATGCCTTATTTGCAAAATAATAAGTTTTATACAATTTATTTACCCTATTTAAAATTAAAAATAATGTCAAAATAATATTTTCAAATTCACTTCTTCTATTTCAAATTAAAAAGAATAAATTTTTTTATAAATACTTTTATTTAGAATTAGAATAAAAAAATAAAATTTATAATCTGTTTGCTCTATTAAAAAAATAAAGAAAGAACATAATTCTTTGTTAATAAATTTTATCCTTAATTTTGAAATGAAAAATAATAAAAACGAAACATTTAAAATTTTTCTGAGTTTAAGAAAATAAACAAATAAAATATTACATACTATTCTTCATTTTATCGGAGTAAAACAAATATTTTCAAAGTTAATTATTATTATTTTTAGTTAAACATTAACATTTTATTAAAAATAAATTTAGAGTATAAGAAGTGATATAACCCATTACAACTCTAAAGGAAAAAGTTAATTATTTGTTGTATGATTAATTAAAATATGATTCTTTTTAACAAATGTCCAACATTTTCCCTTCGTTTAAATGAGTTCTGAATCCAAAATTTAGTTTCAAAGATCTATATTTTGATTGAATTTTTTTCAAATTTTTTTCTTAATAAGATTATGTGACTCCTTATTTTTTAAAACAATTAATTATATTTTTTAATATTTAATTGCCATCCCGTCATGGTTCGGTTGTTGCGACAGATTTATTTTACAATATGAAAATAATAAATTTATACTTTTTAGCATTCCAATCCTTTTCATAAAAATAAAATACTCAGTAATGCACTGTAAATTTCCATTTATTATATCATTCAATTTTCAAATAATATGTGGAAACTTTGTTTATTTTCATTATATATTATATACCATTCCGTTCCACTCGTTATAACAAATTAAGTAAAGAACTTTACTGTTACAAAAACAATCGCTTCAAAATTGTAAACTAGGCCACAAACTCATGGTAATTTCGAACGATACAATTTTGCTTCTCAGAATAAATACAACACAACCAAACAATAATGCACAAGCTACTTTTATTTACCTTCACAGTTTTTACTCTTATTCTGTTTCCTCAGGATTGAATTGCCAAACACAAGTGTAAGAATGCAAATTATTGAAGCCAATTTAAGTTGAAATCAACTTGGACCACCTCTAGCCTTAGATCGCTAAGCATGTCTTTGAAAGGTGCCCATAGTGCAGCCCTCTCTTCATCACATATCACATCTCTTAAGCCTCCAAGATCTGTGATTGAGTATGGCAAGTCACTTAATCTTGAGCAACCTCTGCAATTGACCCTTTCTAAATTACTTAACTTCCCCATGTTCTCAGGTAACTTACTAAGGCTTATGCAATCAGAGATGTCAAGAAATTTCAGTTTATGAAGGCTTGTGGTTGAGTCTGGCAACTCTACTAAACTAGTACAGGAAGTAAGCCTTAGTGATTCCAAATTGACCAAATTTTCAATTCCTTTAGGAAGTGCAGAAAGCTTATGGCAGTTTGTGATACTAATCTTCTTTAAGGAAACAATATTAGAGAGCCCCGCTGGCAATTCCACCATATCACAGTAGTCAATGTTTATTTCCTCCAAATTTGGCAGCACATCTGAAATTTGAACACTTCTATTTTTGAATGCTTCATTCACATTGCACATAAAAAATGAAAACTTTTGGAGATTCTTTAATTGCACTCCGGTCTTGCTGAGGAAAGGAATTGAAACCCTCTCTAACCTGATTCGTTTAAGATCAGATAGACAATCAAGTAGTTCGAAATTCTCTAAGTCAGCGCGATAGAAGTCATAATTTGTGATTATCAATACTTCTAATTTATTCATTTTCTTCATGAACATAGGTAGTGTGAACTTCTTTTGTCGAATGTTCAACACTAGAACCTCAACTTCAGTTGGCTGCAAGTTGCACCATTCTGAAGCGAACGCTTCATCTGCAAAAAAATTAAATATTTAGTGAATGTGTACCCTCTCACAACTTGTGTATCACTATGTGCATGCCGACAGAAAAATGAACAAACCAGTTGATATGGATAATATGCGGGCTGCAATGTGATGCTCATTCTGTTTAGTCCACCATGATGGAAGATTGTTTCCACTTATGTCAATAATTAGTCTATTCCTCTTCTCTGTTGGCTCCTGGCTTGTTTGAAGTATAGCTAGATCTCGAAGAAGACCATGTTGTGTGACATAGTGGTTATTGTACTCAATTGTGCCACCTTCAACATTCCTGATAAATAGAAAGATATTAGTTGCTTTAAAATGAATAAAAAAAATAGTTACAAGAGAAAGTATCAATAATCTTTTCAAGAATGTTCGAATTTCGCTTTATATATATGAAGTTATTGCAAATTTTCAAGTGTAGCTGCAAGGGATTAAAACTAAGTAATTTGCCTAAAGCACAACCAATCATAAGATCAAGAATAATATTAAAATGCCCTCCAAACAAATTTTGTTGTATCGTCTTTTGTTACTTTAAAGCATCTTAAAATTTGATAAACGTTTAAAACCTATGCATTGCTCACTTTTCAAGTCCGAAGAGACTTTTTGGATGATGGGGAATATAAAAGGCAGAATTTTATGTTTGAAGAACCTAGAAATTATAATTGAGCATAAACTTAATCTCAAGTTATAGCTGTCTCTTTCTTGTTGCCATGCATGCAGAGATATTTAACAAATTCAAAATAACCTTAAAAGTTAAAAGAATATTACACTACACAACATATCAAATCAATAAAGAAGTATTGGGCATACCTGGTGACAAGGATATCAGCCATGTTCTGATTGGCTAGTTCATTGATTTTATCCATTGAACTAGCGTCATCTTCATCACGTAGTGACCACATATCAACAAGGGCTGCAGCAGCGATCCTTTGGGCTTCAGGAAATAAGCTTAAGTCCCTAAAACACTCAGTGACCTTAGGATCTAAGACATCGAAGCTTTTTTGCAGAGAAGTAAGCACATCGTTATTAGTGTCAAGAATTGATTGACCCGTCGCCAATTTCTTCGCCCTATTGTGCCACACCGCCGGTTTTTGATGACTTAAGGTTCTTCCACTTACTCTAAGTGCCAAGGGAGAACCACTGCACCCTTTCACTATCTGCAATATATTTAGTCCAAGTTAATAAAATAATAAATTGTAAATAAGGTGGCTATGTTATTTTGAAAAATTATCATAATTGAAAGGTGACAACATGGCTTTATACTAATTTTTTTGGTGATTTCTTTTTATTATATAGATAAAAGAGAAGGAGAAGAACCCATAACTATTCCTTACGGAAGAATTCTACAGGACATAAGAAAATTCAATGATGTTATTTTTTTAAATTAATTTTGCATGTGCTGTTAATAATACTAATAGCAATAATATGCATTTCAAAAGTATATTTAAACAATAAAGGAACAACTAAAATTGTAAAAGTCATTTTGTGTTTATTTGTCCCTTGATATTTAATATTATTAATTTAGTCTTATTAATATAATTAAAAAAACAATGTTATTAAAATATAAAAATTTTAATGACTACTTTTCTATTTTAATGTAATAAAATATTTGTTTTCAATAAAAATAACTTTTATTTGTTGAAAATTGACATAAATTAATGTTATAAACTCTTAATAAATTGGCTTAGTGTTATCAAAATTTGTGAAAATATATCAAATTTCAAGAGAGACGGATTCAAACATTTCATATAACAGCACCAGTGTGTCGTAAAACAATCGCCTGAGTGTCCTGAATCCACTTTGCCTTGCATGCCAGAGTTTACAAAACACACTAGAAATTAAAACTAGCTATGTAGATTTTAATTTTAATATAAAAGGGTAATAGAAAGTACCTCATTGATAACATAATCGGGGATTTCAGAGCTGCTTTGATTCAAGGATGCTTCGTGGCGAAATAGATTTATAGCATGAACATCATCAAGGGGTTTCAAAGTGTATGGAGGGCCAAATCTAGCAATGGCGAATCTTGATGTCACCAAAATAATGTAGTTTGGGATTTGGAACACAAAATTGTCTACAAGAGACACTGATTCGGGCCAAACATCATCTAGGACCAGCAGTATTGGGCTTTTACCAATTTCTTTTAGCAAATGCTCCAATTGGTTAATCGCATCTTCATCACTTTGAAACTCTGGCACGTCATAACCGTTGTGTTTGAACAGCCTTTGCACTATGGTAATCCACTTGGGCGTTTTCCCAAATGTGATGAAGAAGATATTTTCCTTAAATTTACCTAACCATATTTTACACGTTTAGAGGTTTGCAAACTCAAGAGCATCTTCTTCTACTATTACACACAAAAATAACCAAATAACAAAGCAAGTAAATTATGTTTTTCTACAACTACTTTGAGCAAAGGTCTTTCGAAAGCTGTTATTGCAGAAAGGTGGTACGATTTGACTCTTAACTATAATTCTATTATGATAAAATACATTTACATACTTACATAACAAATCATAAAATCATTAAAATTTTAATAAATAACTTTTTAATTAACGATTAGAATTATACCCTTTCAAATATATCATTTTAATTTAAAAATTAAATTTAAAGTGAAATATGATCAAAGCTAATGCAACAGTCATTTGAGAAAAAATTATCAAGTACTAATTACACACAAAAATAATTTACTTTTTAAAGAGAAGGGCTGAATTTAAGTATTTAAAAATAAAAAAAAATTATTAAAAATATATACAATTATTATATTGAAATTATAAAAATATAATAAATATCTTTTTAATAAAATTTTATTATTATTAGTTTCTTATCTTTCTTAAGGTTAATAAAATCTTTTAAAAATATATTTTTCTCCTTTCAGGTATTTATGTGTCTCGGATCAGGCGAAAATTCGTTTGTAACATTTTCCGAGAAAAAAAATCGTTACTACAAAATAGGATTGCCGTTGCCTGAGCTATGTATATTAACTACAACTAAACGTAGTAATCTCTCCAACAGCCGTAACTTCAACCCATGAGCAGCACAGCATTGCAATTAGAGTAAGGACACGAAATGTTTCATTAGAAACGAAACATTTTGATTTAATTTCAACAGTCACAGTAATGAAAGGATGGTGAGATAGATAGAAGTTAGGAATTGATACCTTTGACTTTCTGATCGGAACAAAACATTTTGGCTAACGTAGATTTGCCCGAACCTCCTGGTCCGGTAACAGTGAGAACGGAGACACTAACCTGCTCCCTCAGCAACTTGAACTTCAAATCCATCAAAGGATCATCCAACCCAACAGTGAAAAGAGGGGGTTCAGGAGGCGAACACAAGCCCCTTAATTCAAGTCTTCTGGGAACAACAATTCTAATTTCCTCACGAAGCTCTCTCACCGCCACCAAGGTCTCCAAGCCATCCCTTTGTATTTGAGCTTGCATATCTAAACTAAAGAACCTTTTAATATCCTCATCCAATGCTTCAAGCTCCTCTTGGTAATTGGCCTGATAACAACAATTCCACCACTGGACTTGATTGCACTTCAGAACAAGCTCCTTCCCATTCTTCATCTGGTCCACCAGCTTCTGTGTCTCCTCCGCCGGCCGATCCAGTTGCCGGTTAAACTCATCTATTTGCTTAACCAATTTTTCTAATCTTTTCAGGGTTTTCTCCAAGAGTTCCAAGGTGGGTCTGAATTTCTTAGCTCTTTCCTTCATTTCCAAAACAGAACTCAACAGTTCATCCACCAATTTTCCAATAACAGCATCTGCAACCGCAGCCATGAGTACTGCCCACAACTGAATATTAATCAAAGAAACCGAAGATTAGGAACCTTGATCTAAAAGCTGGTGAGTGAGTTTGAGTCAAACAAACACAGGCTTAGCTACATAAAACGATGGTTACTATAAAGCAAAGTCAAACATCGAAGTTTGTGGGAAAATAACAGAGAGGGCAGAAAATACAAACCAAAATGCTGTAAACTGTAAAAGATTCTTTCCTAACTAGACGCAGCTAAGTTGGAGAATCCGATTCCAGCTTCAATTCCCACTGTTGTTGTTCTCACCCCAAACAGGGAATATAGAAAATGATCACTGAATAGGTTGCTTAATCTCAATAACATTGATTTTAGATTTGGATTTATATGTTTTTATTTTTCATTTTTCCCTATTGACGAGTTCTTCTACAGCAAATTGAGCGCCTGGTCCCCTTATGTCTAACTAATATTGAAGTTTTCTTTAATAAATGATTCACTTTGAAAGCTTTTTGTTCAAGTTGCTGTTTGGTTTGGTCAGTATGGTCAACTATAATTTCAACAATTAATGTTCACATGGACAGATATTAAGGTACACCGGCGTTTGAATGTTCACACTTCATATGCTCAGAGATTAAATAAATAAGACCTTGTCAAAAAAATTGTGCTTATTCTTTATTCACATCTGAAAAATAATGCGTCGACATATATATTATTTCCTAAAAAACCTTGTTTTGACGTTCCTAATCCCCATTGATATTGGCAATGTTAGTCTTCAATTAACTTCTCCCATTGGAATTGAGAGAAATGCACATACAAGTATTTGACTAGGCACATACGCGGAATTATCTCAAGGAATGCTTCTCCTAGGTTAACCTGATCTGCATCTCTAAGCTGCAGCAACAGATTTTCACCATTAAGCAGGGGATACTTTCAGTTACTAATTATTTTCCAAAAATTGCTCGAAGACTCTTGTTTAATAATCTTATACCAAATCTTATTATCAATATAACATTTTAATATATAAACACACTCACTCACATGAAAGAGAGTAAGAGAACTTTTGCTTCTAATTTCATTTAAGGCTTCTTAAAATTGTACAATCCAATACTCCAATTATAAGCTCTTATTATAGCCAATTGTTTCTAAAATACTAAAATAAATATAGGATGTCCTAATATAGAAGGAAACAAATCATCATTCTGAAGTTATCTCTCTACAGGGTTGTGTTGAATGGTGCAACCATTCCTTTTGTTAATAACCTACCAAAATACACGATGCCAACAATTTTACAGCTTTTAGGATTCTTTGTATTTATAATTAAGCTTTTTCAGTGGTTACAATTTTTTACTTTCATATTCTAATTACTAGTTGTAATTTCTCCATCTTGCTAAACACAATAAGCTATCGGCAGTGCAAGTGCAAGTATGATAGTAAACAAGACTTGATTTACGTATCTACATTCCCTTCCTTAAATCAAGCATGAATCATTTCAAGCATCTTTTTCAATTTGTAAAATAATTCAACCTTTAATGCTTTTATAAAATACTTGCAATTTGATTTTTAGTTTGACAATATTTAATCATCACTTCTTTTTCAGCTACTAACTTTCAAATTTTGAGAAATTAAACATATAAGTGCTTGAAATAACCATATAAGACTGAATTATTGTATAATGTAATGGTAGACTTGTAACCACAAAATTTTCTCATAAGAGCATTTTGTTTCTTATGAATCACTTTTAGTATTTTTCTTATTCATATTGCTGGCTTAGCATAACTAGTGGCTACTATATATCATGCTTCTATTGTTGAGAGTGTATTAACTTGTTTATTTGAGGACCAAGACTACTCTATAGATGAAATGCATACCATGACATGCTATTTCTTATTTTTATGTCTCTTGTCATATCACTATTTGTGTATCACTGGAACTTCACATCAATATTTTTAGCATAAAATATTCTATTGGTCAAAGTCCCTTTGATATATCTTAGAATTCTCTTTACTCCTTCTAAATGAGTGATAGGAGGTTCTTCTATTAATCTGATTAATAATCTTGTTTCCAAAACATAATTTGGCCTGTTTATCATTAAATATTCGAGGTTTCCAATCAAACTCTTGTAATGAGTTAAATCTACTTTTTTACCATCAATTTCTCTTGTCAACTTTAAATTTTCTTAAAAAATAATGTCGAAATTGACCTTAAATTATCCATCTTAAATATCTTTAAAATAACACTATCATATTTTTTTTATGAAAAATAAAAATTCTATCATACTTTTGAATGATCTCAATGCAAAATAAATAAATAAATAACATTAGCACCAAATATGTCATTTCAAACCATCTAATGAAAGTCTCCCTAAATTTTATAATCATCTTTGAATTATTACTAGTAAAAATGATGCCATCAACATAAAGACACATAATTAGAATATCTTTAGGTTCAATAAATTTAATATATAAAGTGTGCTCAAATAGGTATATTTGGAAATCATGTAAAATGTTACATATTTAAACTCTTGAGGAAGTTTTCAATCAATAGGCAAGTGTACTCGTTAACTATAGTAAAATGAAGCGTTTGAGACCTTCACAATATCGTACCAATAAAGACTATATTGCAAAATCTTACTACTATTATTCTTCCGATGTTAAGAAAATTCAATTTTTGAGAAGATTTGAATTGAAAGTAATCAAAATAAGTTAAAAAGAAAATAGAAAGTAGAAAATTATAGAGTAATTTTATATGGATTAGGGTTTGGAGCTTCACTTTCTTCTTATGATTACATGTATGTTTTTCAATTCAAATTCATTCAATTGTGTTATAAATTATAATAGTTACTAATTATCTAATCAACTATTACCACTATCCAATGATCATGCAATAATGACAATCTTCTTAATTATTGTAGATGGGCAAGCAAATCAGTCAAAAAGTAAAAAAGAAGTTCAAAAAATTGAGTTCTTAGAATATTGTCCGATAGAAATTGTTTACAATTATTGAGAATATTATGATTTCATTGTTTGAACCAAAATAGTGCATAGTAGTAATAAGAGAAATTTAAGAAAGATTTAAACTAAAAAGTAATGAAAAGATAAGAGCATAACGCAATTTTCTTTTACAAGAAAACTCTTCAAGAACCTAGGGTATTCAGTTTCATCACTTATGGTCACTTTTATCTTTACCCTAGTTCAAGTTTTTCTACAATCGTCAATCATTCATATAAAGTTAATGACAATAAATGGTCATGCAATACCAATATTCTTTTCTCTAAGCAATTATCCTCAATAGTCATGCAAGGTAAAAAGAAAAGGAAAGTGTGAAGAACCTATGAGTTTGTTAATTCATTAACCAATTGAAAAATAAAAACAAAATTTGGTCCACTTAATTTCTTATCTTGTTTTACCCTATGATTCCATTAACTATATGTGATATAGTCCAACACAAGAACACACACATGCTAGGGTAAAACCCATCCTAAAAGAAATCAAAATTGTGATAAAACAAAAGATCATATAAAATATGCAGATAATCTATCATAGCTTTAGCTATACAATTAGTTACACATAACAAAATAGGAAAAGAAAATAATTGCAAAGAAAACTGTCGCAACTGGGCAGTTGCAACGGTACGGCAAAAACATATTTTAGAAATTAGTAGAGTTGCTACTAAAGTTTATAAAAGAAAACCTCGAAAAAACTTAAAATTTTGATATTTGAAACTAAAAATGGATTTGAGAGCCATTTACGTGTAAGGAAGGTGTTAGCACCCTATAACATCCGTTGAAATAACGGTTACATTGAATTAATTATGTAAATTTATTATAATTTTGAAAAGTATTTATTTAACCCTTAAAAATAAATGTTGCTATTTTTATTTTTAAAGAAAGAAAATTTATTTATTAAAATACTAAGTTATATCTTAAAAGAAAAAAAATATTTTTAAAAATTATTTTGACTCAATGGGTCTGATTCTCGCTCCTATGTATCTCTGAGTGCAATGGAAAACTCAAGATCACGTAGTTCTATAATAAAAATTTTGAAATTACTTTATTAATTTAAAATTTATAAGGTTTTAAAGGAAATATATTAAAAGAAATTGTTTCAAGATTAATTATACTTCTTCATTTGAAAAAATTAATTTATGCCATTTAGGATACAAGACATCTTAGCTATACACGTTATCTCATGACAATTGATACGAAAGACAAAGAAGAATCACATATCCGTATTGTAAGTCATTGCAAAAAAGTGTGATAATTAAAACAAAATATTTTAATTTGTACAAAAAGAGTAATTTTAGTATACATTTAATTTAAATTTTGATAATGAAAAATCTAAGATTACGTAAACTATATATAAATCTCTCATGACTTATTCATTAACCAAAAGTAACATGAATCACATATTGATATCGTAAAATATTATATGATAAGATAGAAAAATAAACATAATTTATTATTATTATTTTAAACATTAAATTAATTTTTATTTAATTAAGGGAATAAATATTTAGAGGAGAGAATACATTTATATTACTTAATAAAGATAATTATTTAAAAAATGAGTTATAAATAAAACTTAATTTTAATAATAACTTTATTGTATAAAACTTAATGTAACATTGATACACAAAGATTTTTATTTTTTTTTATGATTTATGATATATAATGGTAGAGATGCTATATATTAATGTTACAGATTGTTATTCTTAGGTTGGTTAATAAATTAATTACTTAAATATTTAAAAATTTAAATAAAAAGATATTTATATTGGTCAAAGAAATAGTAATCCACTTCATTTAAGACGAATTGTAAATTGTTGTTTTGATTAAAAAAATATTTATATATATACGTATTTTTAACTTGATTAATAAAATATTTGAAAGAATATATTTTAAAGGAGAAAATACTTAATTGATTAAAAAAATAAGACTTTTTAACTTAGAATATTTATATCGCATAGAATCAACGGTAATGTTAGTATATATTAGTTTCAACGACTAATAATGCATATAAATAAAGATATTACACAATAACATTATAGATCGTTGCATTAATTTTAATTTCATAATTAACAAATCACATCAAATAATAGAATATAAAAAATATAATATGTTTTGATAAATTAATAAAATTAAGTAAAAAAATATACTTTATTGATTATATGATTAGATGAAAATAAATATTATTTCACTTTCAAATTATTTAATAACTTAAGAGAGGAAAATTTTCAGATAAATTTTTTTAATTAAATTAAATAAACACATAATTTATTAATTATATACAAATAAGATATTATTTTTAAATACATTGATAGAGCATACGATATAAAATAATGTAAATATACATATATCTT